GCAGATGGCATGATTCTATAATGCAAAGATCCTGTAGAATCTACTAGAAAATTCTTAGGTCCAATAAATACTTAGAGTAAAAATGCAAGATAAAAACCAATGCAAAAAAAAAAAAAAAAAAAAAAAAAAACAGTCGTCTTCCTATATACCAAAAATATACTCTTAGAAAATGAAATTAAGGAAAGTATCCAATAAAATTAACACCCAGAAAATTAAGTGCCTAATAATACATCTAACCAAAGAAGACACAGACCACTGCAATGAAACCCTCAATAAAATGGAAAGGGAAATTAAGGTCAATGGAAAGATCTTGTGAAAATAACTATACTACCAAAATTAATCTACAGATAAAATGCAATACCGATCAAAATTCCAATGTTATATTTCACAGATGAGGGGAAAATCCAAGAATTCATCTGGAACCACAAAAGGACAAAATAATCCTACAGAGTAAGAACAGAGCCGGAAGCATCACAATACTTGACCTCAAATTATACTATAGAGCTATAGAGATAAAGAGAGCTCGACACTGGCATAGAAACAGACAGACCCATGAAACAAAACAGAGGATCTGTGAGTAAATCATCAAAGCTAGACCTACCTAGTTCTTGTAAAAGGAGACAAAAACACACAATGGAAAAAAAGATAGCCTACTCAAGAAATGGTGTTGGCAAAAGTGGGTTTCTGCCTGCAAAACAATGAAATTAGATTAACAATTTTCACCATGTACAAAAATCAACTTGAACTGTGTCTAAAACCTTAATTTAATACTACCTGAAACTCTGAAACGCCTAGACGAAAATATAGGGAATACTGTTCAGGACACTGGAGTAGGCAAGAACTTTCTGAACAGGGTATCAGCACAGAAATAGTCTCAAGTATCAACAAATGGGATTATATGAAATTTAATAGTTTCTGAACAGTAAAGGAAGCTTTCAGCAGAGCACACAGATAGCCCACAGAATGAGAACATCTTTACCATCTATATATCACACCAGGAGCTAATATCCAGAATTTACAAAGTAATGTAAAAATTAAACGCCCAGGAAATAAAATTGCCAACAGACATATAGGCTAACAAATTGAATACTCAGTTTTCAGAAAAGGAGTACTAATAGCTAACACTTATTTTTTTTAAATGTTCAGCATCCCTAATCATCAGGGAAACAGAAATTAAAGCTACTTGTGAGATACCATCTTACCCCAGTCAGAATGGCTGTCATCAAGAAATCCAACAACAAATGTTGGTGTGAGAAAATGGATCCTTTATTCACTGCTGCTTGGAGTGCAAATTATCACAGCCATTATGGAAATCAGTTTTGAAGTCCCTAAAACTATTAAAAATAGGGCTACCAAGTGACTTAACTATTTCACTCCTGGGCAGATACCCAGAGAACTCTGTACCTTAGTGTAGAGATATGAGCGTCCAACAGCCTATATTTCTGTTGCTGTAGTCACTGTAGCAAGGAAATGGAACCGAACTAGTTGTCCCTCAATAGATGAATGGATAACAAATATCTGGTAGACATTTAAAGCGGAGTATTATTCAGCTCTAAAGAAAAATGAAATCACACAATTGGCAGAAAAATGGATGGACCTAGAATGTATAATATTAAGTGAGGTCACTCAGTCTTAGAAAGTAAAGAAACTGATGTTTTCCTTCATATAAAGATCTTAACCTATATAGTATACCTGTATATATGGAAACAAATGCATGTGTCATATGCAATATTCAGAAAGGGAAAATGGCTAAGTTTTAAAAGCATAGCAATGAGTTATTTAGATTGTACACTTCCTGTACAATCTTTGAATCCTATCTCAAGATTTTCAGTGATCAGTAAGTCCTTATAGGGTAGTGTCCTTACGTGGTTCCATGAGACGCTTATAGGGAAATGTGAATTGTGAATCAAGCTTTTTTTCCATTCTTTGTATATTTGTGTATGCCGTAGTCTTTTTTTTTCTTTAATATTGTCCTAGTTTGTTTCTTCATTGCTGTTACAAAACACTCTGACCATTACCAACTTGGGGAGGAAAGGGTTTATTTAGCTTACATATCCTTGGTCACAGTTCATCCAGGAGCCCAAGGTAGGAACTCAGGGTAGGAACCTGGAGGCAGGAGCTGGAGCACAGGCCATGGAAGAATGCTGATTACTGGCTTGCTCTCCTCCTGGCTCCTGCTCAACCTGCTTTCTTATGCAACACAGGCCCACCTGCCCAGGGATGGCACCACCCACAGTGGGCTAGGCCCTTCCACATCACTCATCAAGAAGATGCCCCTCAGACACAGCCACAGGCCAGTCCAATAGAGGCAATCCCCCAATTGAGGCTCCCTCTACCCAGGTGTGTCAAGTTGACACTAAAGTTACCAGCACAATTGACCCCTTGTTAACTTGACATGCAAACGTCACTATTAAACCATAAACTTTCCAATTTTTGTTCCCAAGATATGATGTTAATATCACAACATAAGACAGTACAACCTTAAAAGCCCCACAATCCTTAAAAAATCCAAACACTTAAACGTCCATATTCTCTTTTAAAAGTCTCTTAACTGTGGGCGGGTGTCTGTAAAATCCAAAACAAGTACTGTCTTATTTCAAAGGGAAGAATTGGGCACACTTAAGCAAAACCAAAGTCCAGCAAAGTAGCTCGAGGCTGGACATCTGTCTGGGATTCACTCATGATCTTCTGGGCTCCATAGGGTTCTGGCAGCTCCACTTCTCTGACTCTACTGTCCACAGCACACACAGCTCATCTCACAGACCCAGGCTGTGGGGTCTCTCCCTTCCCTCATGGGTCATTGGCCACTGGTCCACAAGGACAAAGGGAGCAGAAGTGATGAATGGGGTCAGGACAGCCAGGGAGCACTGACGGAAGAAAGCCCTTCTGGGGCGGCAGGTTCAGTGATACAAACAGCTCCGGACTCAGTGAAACAGCTCCGTTTATTCAGTGGGGGTAGGGAAAATATAGTGTGGAGGCAGTAGCCAATGCTTCAGCTGATAGGTGCTCATAGTATACTTTATTTACATGTGGCAGTAGGCTCCTATCATCCAACTACCGGGGCAATGCCTAATTATCATATAGAAAAATCCTGGGGGTAGTTTTTACTCCAGGTAACTATGCCAGAGGTCATGTTCCAAATAAGGTCAGGCATCCGTGCTTGCACTTTCCAGGTAAGTCAGGAAGAGAGCAGGAGGCCCCCTGCTGAGAAGGGGAGCCCCTTAGAGCTATCTGGACATGGAGGACTACAACCCTAACAGCAGGGTTCCCCAACACCTCAGAGAGGGTTGGGGTTTCTTAGCCACTTCCCCATGGGTATGCTGGGATTTTGTCTGGCTTGAGCTTACATGGAACTTGTGTATGCTGTCACCATTACTATGAATTCATATGTGTAACTTCCCAGCTATCTGGAAAGTTCTATTTCCTTATCATCTCCAAAAAGCTGGGGTCTCCACTGAAACTGAGGCTACACCTTCACCAATGGCCTCTTCTTGCCTCTTGGGGTGAAAAGCCTCAGATTCCATGACCCCTTCAATCCTGGGGTCTTAACTGCAACTGAAGCTGCACTTTCACCTATGGCCTTTCCTAGCCTCTGCATGCCAAGCCTCAGCTGCTTTCTGTGACCCCTTTATGCTTTCAACACCAGAACCATGCAGGAGACTCTTACACATTACTAAGTCCTGCTTCCAGCTTGAGATAGAGGCTTGGGTCCCCTCTCTGTGCTGACCCTGAGGAAATACCTCCCAGAAGACTTCACCTCAGTGATGCTGATCTCTTGTTACTTAGAGCTGATTTTTCAGCCCCAGCTAACCAGCATCCATTGTCTCACTAAAGCAAAGGTTTTGCTTCAGGTTCTGGTCTCTTCTTAATCCTCAGCCCCAGTCTACCAGAACCCACAGATTCTCAATCCAAAAATCTCACATGAACGGCCCTGATAGTCTCCGCTTCCATTTGAAGCTTCACAAGCCAGGCCTCCATCATCTTCAACTCTTTCAGCATAATTGTTCCAAGCTCCACAGCAACAAACTGAACACACAATGGCTTTTCCAGCCCAAAGTTCCAAACACTTCCACAGTCCTTCCCAAAATACCAAGGTCAGGTCTGTCACAGCAGTATTCCACTCTCTGGTACCAATTTCTGTCCTAGTTTGTTTCTTCATTGCTGCGACAAAACACTCTGACCATTACCATCTTGGGGAGGAAAGGGTTTATTTAGCTTACATATCCTGGGTCACAGTTCATCCAGGAGCCCAGGGTAGGAACTCAGGGCAGGAACCTGGAAGCAG